GTACCTTTGATTATCTTGCCTTGATCATGAGTCCTTTCCCGCAGGTCCCATGTATGGCTCGTACCTATTTTTACCGGATCTCTTTTCATTTTCCACATGCCTTGAGCTTACCTTTTCTTCTGTTTTATGTCGTAAAATAATGTCTTCTTCAATCCTCATCTTTGTACTGTATCTGTTGTAGACATCATTCCACGTTGTTGCTGGGAATTCTCGAAAGCTTTCCTTGAGTCGCCTCGTGGCTTCTGAACTCTTCTATTTCAAATTGCTGGTGAAGGCTATGGCTGCCCAATTGTCAGGTACTCGTGGCAATGTTATTCTTTACCGTTGAAATCTATCCACGAATTCTCTGAGCAGCTCTGAATCTCCTTGCTTATTTTGAAGATATCCTCCATTCGTTTTTCAACTTTTTGAGCTCCCGAATGTGCTTTGATAAATAAATCTGCAAGCTCAGCAAAAGAATTTATAGAATTTTCAGGTAAGAGAGAATACCAGGTTAGTGCCCCTTTAGTGAGTGTTTCACCGAATTTTTTGACCAAGACTGCTTAGTCAAATCGTTGCCCTTGACTCCTGTTGTAAATGCAGTAACATGATCTCGTGGGTCTGTTGTCCCATCATACTTTGGAATATCGGGCATCTTGAACTTCTTTGGAATTGGGAGAGGGGCGGCACTTGGCTTCCATGGTTGTTGAGAATATTTATCTATATCTACTCCCTTGATCACGGGTGGTACTCCAGGTATTTGTTCTATGCGGTCGTTTTACTCCCTAAGTTGTTTCTGCAATGTTAGCACTAGATTTTGCAAATCAGAATTAATTGGATTACCTGGGTCTCCCTCCTGTGTTTCACTGGGGGTTCCACCGCTGCCTGAATTAACCACACCAGAATGAGGGTTCTCCAAAGTATTGTTATTTGGAGTAGGTGTGGGTGGAGTAGCAGGTAATTGACTAACAAAAACTTGTAAAGCTTTGTTGACCTGAGTAGCGATAAGTTTTTGTAAGGCTTCATCCATAGCTTCAGCATTTTCAAATTGACCTCGTTCTTTTGTGTGACATCCTTCAGGAGTGCCTTCACGAGATTGTCGTGGTGAGTCTCGTGGTGTTTGATCATCTTGCAGATCTCCCTGATTTTGCTGATTGATTGGGTTTCCTTGGATATTGTCATTGTTGTTCGACATAGTTGATTCCACAAAGAAAATCAAGCAGAGATATAATTGATTATCAGATTCCCGGTAACGGAACCAATTTGTTTAACCAAAAATTAGATTTTAGGTCAAAGCTTGAATTTAGAAGAACTCAGGTTACTGATAATCGGAAAAGAGTATATAAAGAAAGAAATTTGTGAATAATATAATCAAAAAGCAAGTAAATCAAAGTGTATTCCAATAGTATTTTTTTTTTCTCCCTCACAGTTGTTTGTGACTTTCCCTTTTATAGCCATTTTGGGAATACAGACTTTACCTTTGTCATAATAAGACAATTATGGGAAATTAATGACTTTAAATGTTACGTTATGCAATCATATACATTAAATACATATTCTCTAACGTTTCCAGTATTTAATACTTATTAATGCTGTATCTGGGCTCTTTTTTGCTGTCAGATTCATTCCTTTGACTCGTCACGATCTTTGACCTTTAAATGTCTTGAATAAGTACGAGCATTGAATTACTTGTATGATTGCTCGTGCCTTCTCCATTTAACTTGCTCGTATCTGTTGTTGCTCGTATCTGTTAACCAACCTTAATTCTTTGACTGTTTGACCAGTCTACGTGTCATGACACGTCACCATATATATAAATACAATTTTCCCCAATACACAATGGGGATGGGCTGCTCATGAGTGAACAGTGGGGAAATTCAGTTATGTCCGCCTATAAGTAATGAGATTTTTACCTAGTTATACTATATTAAAAACTTATTTACTTATGTTCTCTATGTTTTGTAGTTTTTAATAATTTTCTAGGTTTTTCTTACAAATTGTATATATTACTCCTTAAAAGGTTCTCACCCCATTATTAGTGTCTTCAATTAAGGGATTCAATTACATCCTTTCCTTTTTTCCTTTCTTCTCTTCTCTCTCCTTTTTCTTACATCAAAATCACTTAATTTACACCAAGAATCTCCATCTTCTCTCTTCCCACCATTGCCGACAGGTTTATATTATTAAAAAATATTCAGAAATTGTATGACAAAAGTATCATCTTTGTATTTGAATTGTATTAGATACATCAATGCCTAATACATAATTGTATCATACCTGTATTACAATTGTATCTAACTTGTATTCGGTACATTAATACCTAAAATAATACCTGATATAATACTAATAAATTAATATATAATTATCATACTTGTGATACAAACTGTGAAATTCGTCATGAACTCACAACTGCTCGTAACAATATACAATGAATATACAGTTATCATACATCTGTAATACAATTCCTCCAACAATTATGAGACATATACAATTATAATACAATCGCGATACATTAATTTTTAAAATTTGTGATACAATTATGATCTTCATCTTATTAAAGTTTCAATCACAACTCTACACTAAAAATTTAATATACTCATATTAAAATTGTATTATTATTGTATCGAGTATTGTTTTGGGTATTGATGTATCATATACAAGTCCACAATAAAAAATTTAGGAAAAAAGAAAACAAGATTCAAAACTTACCCAGAACTTGATTCCATAGCAATATTTAAAATTTCGTCTGCATTATATCAATAAGAAATAGAGATTTTGGGTGATTAGTAAGAAAGAGAGAAATTAAGTTTGAAAACCT